AAGGGTGCCCTGGCTCAGGGTCCCTGCTCGGTCACAGCCTGTAAATACATCTAGAGATAAAGATATATAATTTTTTTTCCCTGGGGTGGTGCCAGGGTACTGACCAAGGATTCAATCAGAGCACGGCACCCCCCAAGAGCCCAATGAACTAATTGATAATCTCTCCTAAAAAGGCACTGTCAGAACAGTGCAGTCACATACAGCATCTTTAAATACCAGCCCTGCACCCTCTGCATCCCCACATGGTCACAGACTCTGGCTGCAGAGCGTTGTGAACTTCCCTTGTGGGCTGTACCCTTGAAAATCCCCTTATACTTTTATATTTACATTTTATACATATTTATATTGTTATTTATATCTCTCAGTTACCTTGTAATGCCTGTATATATGTGAGCTCTGTGTCAGTCAGTGAGCTGCCATGGGGAGCAATGGCACTTCCATTAACGTGCTGCCATCACAGGGCTGCTGGGTTTGTTTCATCCTTGGATTTGCCCTAAGGAAGATCCAGCTGTTAACAGAAAAAGATTATTTATTGTCTCTTATTGCTAAATTTCTAATACTGGGAAAAGAACTGTAGTTGAAGAGAAGTTAAAGCCAGAGTCTTGTGGCTGCAGTGGGCCCCTCCCAACCGAGTTCCTGCTCCCACTTTTGCATTAATGGGAGTGACATAATTTGGGACATGGAATGTGAAAGGTTTTGGAAGGAGCTGCAGAGCTGTTTGGCTTTCAGCAGGCGAGGGGTTTTATGCAACCATCCAAAATCTCTGCTGAAGCACCCTCTTTTAGGCCTCACATCCCAGATTTTAGCAGTTAAATCCAGGTTAGGGCAAGAGCTTCTCCAGCTCAGGACAGCTCATGGCTGCTGTGCTGGGAGCGTCCTTCCAGGCAGGATTTATGGCAAGTGTGGCACTGAATTTGTGTGGAATTGTGCTGGGGAGCTGCACGGGACAGGGAGACTGGTTTGTGTGGAACTGTGCTAGGGAGCTGGTGGGAGGGATGTCCCTGGTTTGTTCCCCATACCCAGACCCTGCTGTTCTTCATGTTCACGTGCTTCCCACCTTCTCCCATGGCTGCTGCCAGGGCTGGGATTGGCGCTGGGCTGAGAGGAGCTCGTGGTGCCCAGAGCCCAGTTCCCGACCTGGGGATGGGCTCTGGGGCTCCTCACCCCCATGCCC